ACGCCCTCTGTTATTTTAGCCCCCGCCACACCCAGAGAGGCGGGGTGAGGCACCCCCACCCCCAACAACCTGTTGTGTACCATGCTGTGACAGCACTGGCTCTTCTGCCTCTCAGCCTGCGGCGACTGTCCAGACCCCATCCCCGAGTGTCAGGAAGGGGAGGCGCTCACCGTGCTCAGGAACACCACGGAGCTCTGCTGTCCCCTGTACCAGTGCGGTGAGTCGGGGCTGGACGCAGGGCCCCATTGGAAGGCTCTGGAACCTTGCTGTGTCCACCAGGCCCTTCACAAAGTCCTCTCCCCCAGGACCAGGGTGAGTGAGCAGGAGCCGTGGGGCTTCCAGGTGGCAAGCTCCAAGGGCAGAGCAACTGGCTCCAGGATGAACTCCGGTCCCACCTGGAGAAGCTGCGGGAGCCGGGGTCAGGGGTGCTCAGGCCTGAGGAAGACCTAGGAAGGGCAATTGCTTACATGTCCCCCAAATTCCCAACTAGTGCCAAGTTGTCCTTCTCTGCCTCAGGCCCTGCTTCAGGGTCCCTTTCACCCGTGTCATCACAGTACCTGCTCAGAGGCTATGCCCCAGGAGGCCCCATGTTTTGAAGTCTCTGAAACTCTTTTATTTTGTAATCATAAATGAAAGTAGGCCCTGCCTGCTCTTTTACCCTGCCTGCCGGGCCTGGTACCAAGACCTGTGGTCTGTCGATTTGGCCTGTGGGGTATTCACAGCCTCTTACCCTGCGTGTGTGCACAGTTCCCAGCCCTGCTGTGTTCTGTGGTCATGGAACCTTGGGATGGTGTGTTCCTAGAGTCCAGATCTGGCGAGTGCCCTTGGCGCTGTTCTCGCTCCCTCATCTTCTGTGCTTCCTCTCAGCTGGGAGTTAGAGCTAAGATTTGGTGGACTCGAGTTAAGCTTTTGGCTAGGCTATGTGAGCCTCATGCTGCCTCCCCTCGGGAGACCACCTGGTCGAGGCGCTGCAGCTCAGGGCGACCTTGGTCCTGGGTAGGTGCTGACTGTCCAGGCCCCCGTCTCTCGGCATGTTTCCTTTCAACCAGCACCATCAGCACTCAGCCATGGCTTCCACGCTGTAGGGGTGCCCTCTGCCCCTCCCCTCATCGTCTATGGTAGTCTTGGCCCTGCCCATAATCCTGTTCGCAAATCAAGTGTCTACAGTGCTCAGAGCCTCACCTTCAGTGCCCGGCCCTCCCCGTTCCCTCTCCACCAGATTGTGCCCAGGGAGTCCCGACACCTTTGCCTCCGTCTCTGAGAACTTAGGCTAAGGAGCCCTAAACTAAGAGCCTAAGGGCGAGGGAGGAAGGAAGTATGAGCCCGAGGCTAGCTTCTGATGCAGGGTAGGCTCAAGTGGGGCCTGAGCGGATGACATTTCTGCAGAGTTGGAAAGGCTGCATTCTCTGAGGGAAACGTCTCCTTCTCATCAGTGGGCCCTACCCTGGCCACTGGCCCATGCCTGACCACAGCCTTCAAGATGACAGACTCCAGGGGAGAGAGGCCCAGGTTAACGAGCTCAGTTCTGGCATCATCACTAGGCCTCACCGAAGCCGTACCCGGACTTCCTAGTAGCTCCAAGGGAAATATAGGGAGCCCAGACTCTTCCACTGGGCTCCAGCCCTGCAGGGCATCTGGGGACATGGGGGCCCTTCAGGAGGAGCCATAAGCAGTGTCGCATTTCTGAGGACTCACACTCCAAGTGCCTGTGGCTGAAGTGTCACCGCCTCCCCTCCCCACAGTGTGTGAGAGTTTCCGCTGTCCCCAAGTGCAGTGTGGCCTGGGCACTGCCCTGGTGGAGGTGTGGAGCCCTGACCGCTGCTGCCCCTACAAGTCCTGTGGTAAGTCCTGGTTGGGGACACCTGCCCCAAGGTAGGGCACCAAATACCCCATGATGGGGGCTGGGGAGAGGACCTAGGCCCCACCATTGTCCACTTCATTCAGGTCTGATCCTTGAGCATCTCCAGAAGGGAGACACCAAAATCACTTCCTCCTTCTACACCCCCTCACTGCGTGCTGAGACTCCTACATCCTTTTCTCTCCAAGACAAAGAGAGGAGAATAGCAAGTTCCCCAGCCTAAGAAGGTTTCCCACCTTTAAAAGTTCATTGCATGGGGGTCAGCAGATGGTGTAGTGGTTAAGGCTCTAGACTCCCACATTGCTGGTCGTAGTTTAAGTCCCAGACCTGGCAGCTTGAAAATCACACTGAGTGCATGTGTGTGCATGTGTGTGCATGTGTGTGCATGTGGGTCATGCTGAAAATCCCAGGAGGAGACTGGAAAAGGGATTGCAGCAGGGCCACCCCGAGGGGGGGAATGAGTTCTCACTTTTCCTCTCACTGTCTCTGTCTCTTTTTAGCGAGCACACATGCCCAAAGGCAAAGACCTAACAACAGCAAAGTTTCTTGTATTTGCCTCACAGTACACGTATGTTTTATTAAAATTCACCTCACATCCCGTTAGGAGGCAGGTGGGAGTATCAATGATTAACAAAGAAAATGAGTGGGTTTTATATAAAAATGTTAATTTTCATCATTACCCATGAAATTTATTGGTGGGTGATTAACATTGTGAACATAGGAACTTCCAAAGTATGTGAATCCTTTTTGTTTTTATTTTGTAGACATTTGTTCACTGAATAGATGTTTATATAATGCCAACCACGTACCAGGCATTCGACTAAAAACACGGAGGAGTATAAAGTATAATGTATGACCTCCCTTAGTACAATATAGGAGGGGAGAGGGACACACACAGGAAATGTTACATGAGGTACAACAGACTACAGTATGAAACCATTCTAAAAAGAGCTGAGTGCTGGCCTCACAGCGTAGCAGTTCAGTGCTGTGCAGAGAAAGCTGGATCCCACATGGCTGACCAGGGATCGAGTCCCAGCCATATCAGCTAAAAAATACAGCAGGTGTGTGCATGTGCCGAGTACCGTAATGGGACAGAATTGAAGGAAAACAGAATTGCAGCGTGCCCAGGCCCCGCTGGGGGAGCAGGCTCTCATATATACGCTCTTCACACCTTCAGGCATGAAAGGAGGTGATGATGAGAAACTGTTTTGCAGCTGGATTTCTTTTGAATGGCCCGAGGGCATATGCCCTTTCTGGTGAGAGAGAAAGTGCCTCCCAGTGGGGCATGGTCACATGGTCTCCTCCATGTCTCCGCTCCATTGGGGTTCTGGGCATGACCGCACGCACGTTCCCGGTGTTTTTAAGCCACGGCGGCCAGAGCTCCGACCGCACTCAGCCATGTGTGACCCGGCTCCCATAAACACTAGGCCATGGAGCCCGCCCACATCTGGATATTTTCACGTCTTTTTCCTGGCCTCACTAGAACATAAACAGTCTGTTTTATCCCTTGCTTTGTCCCCAGAGCACAGAAAGAAAAAGAAAACCTCGGCATCTGTAGATGCCTAGAACTTAGTTGCAGGGATGAGGGGCTTGGAGGGGTGCCTCATGGCCCCTCTGGCCCGGAGCTCTGGTCCTTCGTGAAGCCAGAGCTGCTATTCCTGAAGCTCCCTCGCATCGTCGACCTGCCATGAGTGAAGGCTGGCAGTAGCGGGGTGGAGCTCACAGGCACAGATCTGGGAGGTGTGGGTAACCTTGCTCATGTGGAGACAGACCACAGGGGGTCAGACGGTCTGCACTTGCCATGTTTGTTCACGGAGAGGCCTCACCTCTTCCTACAGTGGGCTCTGGAGGAAGGGGAGGTGAATTCTAGATGAAAGACGGCGAGCTGGGA